TCACTAAATAGGGGTGGTGGACTAAGACACAACTTGTCTTCCATCTACAACCCGGTTTTGAGATCTCTGCCCAAACATGCCCACCAGGACAATAGGCGTCGGTTGACAGGGGAGGATCCAAAGACAGGTAACAACCCTCACTGATACTGGGCTGTAACGACTCAGTCGTTAATGGACAGTGTTGGCCTTCTAAGGACTGAAACGCCACCGAGGGGGATAAATATCTCTGACTCAACACCAGTCAGTCAGAACCGATGAAGCCTCTTGGGTGAGAGGTGAAACGTCTTCGATCTAGAAATCCAAGTCCAGTTAATTTCCAAGGTTATTTCGGTTGCGGTTTACTATGACCTGGATGACTGAGAATCTGCACAGATAAAGTGCTATGTACGCTTGTCTGTGTGTGTGTACGTGTACTCACTATAAAGTATTTCTCAGTGAAGGAGGGGGTGCTGGGTGCCGTCCAGCTGTAAACTGAAGCCTTCCTGCTGGACAGCGACTGCCTGCTGACGGACAGAGGCCTCATCTTGTCGGTGCTGTCAAATGGACTGAAGGTTCAAATACACAGATGTTTAGATAGTGAACAAACAGAGTGCACCCTGTGCTGTGCCACTACAAGGTAAATACTGTATCAGGTGGGGATGTACTGGATTACATTATATTCAGAGGTGTCTCTATATTTTTGTCCTCCCCAGCTACATACATGAGAGGGTCAGAATATTAGGAACACCTCTGAATATAATGTAGCCCAGTGCAACACCACTTTTCACTATGACCTGGATAATAAACATATAATTTATCCATTTATGACAATTTAACCAAAAACTGAAATAATTTGAGCTTCATAAACACAGATGTTAAGGTGGAAGTGTTGGCTTGAAGTGCACACAATTCTACAGTTGTACCTAATAAAGTGGCCGGGCAGTGTATATTAGCAGTAACACTGGTGGAAATCACTGAATGTGACTCATTTAGGGGCTTGATTAAATTGTGTTTCTGATGTGTAGCTACAGGAGTTGTTTGGTTTTTTTTTTGTGATTGTGCGAGTTCAGCGGGCTTGAACATGTTTATGTGATTTTCCATCTCTGCAGAGAGAATCCATGAAACCTCTTCCACCTGGCTGCTCTGCAGTCTGAAATGCGATCTGTCATGGTGTAAGGACACACAGACACACACACACTGCGCTTGTGTGTGTGTCTGTGTGTAATGTTCACTGTATCCAATCAGCAGCACAGCAACAGCTGGCTCAGGTTAGAGCTACAGAGGAGACATAACAGAGAAAATAACAGATTCACATTCAGAATCTGTAATATGGAGCACTTCAGTTTGTTGGTGTTTACATCACATCGTTTATGGCTCGGCCTTGTTTTACTGCTGAAAACGTGGCAAATCACAGGGGTGTAAGGAAACGTTCAGAAAAAACCAAGTCCATTTTATGTACATGACCAGCTGCACTATCACCGATTTCACTCTGAAGCTCATCAGCTCCCCATTAAATCCTGTCCTCAGTGGAGGAAATGCCTCTGCATCTCCTGTCATGACGTTCTGTACCACCACCTCATCGGTTCTTTTCATATTTGAATGTGTGACGTAATGTCTTTCATCTGTGTATGTGTGTGTGTGTGTCCATGTGACGTAATGTCTTTCATCTGTGTATATGTGTGTGTGTGTGTGTCCGTACTTCCAGGTGACCTCCAGCTGCAGTTTGATGGTTCCCAGCTCCGTGATGTCCACCAACATCAGCTGCGGCCTCGCCACAAAGAAGTCTGCACTGGCACACGTTACCGTGCCAACCAGCAGCCAACTCAAACCCTTTGCCTCCGTCACCTGAAACAAAGGATCTGATGAGTGAAACACCTGCAGACGTAACCCAAGTGTGTTGTACGCAAACATGATAACACACAAATGTGGTGCTAAAACTTGGTATTGTTCATTTTCACCACTGCAAAACAAACAGGATTATTTGGGTTTAGCAAGCACACATGCACTTCTCTTCAGTGCACACACGTCTGTGTGTGTTTGTAACCTTGATCTCAAAGTTGTGGTGTATATGTGGGAGGAAGAACATCTCCTCTTCATCCCAGGACTGTGTGTCATCTGATTCGATCTTCCCTCTGATCCTCCATCGCTGGCGGCCCAACCGCACCACCACCTGGTCATGTGACATAGTCAGTTAAAGCTTCATATCATGTCTGCACACTCAGCTCAGGTCAGTGTTCACTGACTAGCTCTGGTTTCAGTTTATGATCCATAAACTAAAGTGAATATATGTGTTTCCTTCACTTTACGTGCACAGAATGTTATCTGTTTGGGCTTCTTACGCAACACATTTGTTTTTTGCTGAAATTCTTCGCCAAAGTGATATTCATCTCTGAACAGAGAAGCTCACCTCGTATTGGTCCCCAGGGCAGAGTCGAGCGAAGCCGATCAGACCTGGAAGTGGAAACACGTGTTAGATATTTGTAAGATAACGTGATGCTGATAACCTGTAACCTGGTCTGGGACGCTGCGTGTGAGCGTGTACCTTTCATTTTGATGTGTAGCTCTCCGAGGAGGATTTCTAACTCTCCCTCCATAACTGACATGTCCTGCAGGGACGATGAACTGGGTTAGAGTGGAACTGAAGAAAAGAGATAATACATCTTTGTCAATGTGCCTAAGCAGTCCTGATTTTCCCAAACTGACCATTTTTGCTCTGATAGATCATCTGTTTTCTGTCCAAAGTGAGGTCAGAGGTCGGGGCATGTTACAGAACATTGACACTGGAGCTTTTAGGATATTCACTGTTTTGCTTGTGGATATTTTACTACTACAGACATTTGGTAGAGATTGGTGGAGTTGCTCATTAAAACCAGTTCAGGCAATGAGCCACTACAGGGGCAGGCGAAGTGAGAGAGAGGGCTTTATGGGTGGGTTTGGGATTTTCCATGTTGGTCTTAACAGTGTTGATGTGTCCATATGGGTCTCAGTCACTAACTTTACTTAGGACACCGTGCTCCTGTAAAAACGACTTTATATGTCATATGTGCCAGCTGATTATTATGACTAACTGTTACCTGATATTGTTTGGCAGCCACAATAATTATGACACAAGAAAAGGAGCAATTAACGTGAGGTAGTAGTGATGTAGTATATAAAGGCACAAGGTGTTTCTTGGGGGCGGATGGCTAGCTACACAAACCATGGGACTTTAGACACAAAAAGTGACTTTATAAATGAGGAGCTTAGAGCAAAGGAAGATAAGTAAAAGTGGGAGCATGTGATGGAAGGAGTTCGATTGAAGACAGATCAGAGACCGATGGGGTATGAATACGGCTTCACTCTTCTGTTAATGACCTTTAGCCTGTGGCTGCAAACAGAGGCATCTCTCTGGGGCCATCACTCACACACCACGTTATTTCACTTAGCAGCGTTTTGGCCATGGCTGCGGTGGATGTGAGGAAGGGGCGGCAGCCACTTCTGCCCTCAGTATGTTGCAGTTGTAGCTTCATGTTTACTGATTCTCTGTGAAAATTCAGAAACCCAGAATCTGTTTTCAGCTTTTTCCTCTGGTGATGAATTTGTTCAGTTTGGCAGCATCAGCAAAACTCTTGTCTTCTGTTTAGTTTGTGGATGAACAGAGGCGTTTAGCGTTTATCATGCTACATTCTTACACAACTACTATCTGTAGCATTTTAATCCAGTGTTGTCAAGCATTTGTGGATTTATGTCAGACAAGTGTGTTTGGTTTTGCAACGCATTGTAAGGAGACTGCAGAAACCCTTTACACAGTATTTCCATTCCATCCATAAATGTCTGTTTAGTTTTCATCAGCCAGGATTTTTTTGTGTTGTGCCACAATGTGAAAGGCTTTTCTATTTTTTAAAAATGAACAGAATGGGTAAAATGTTTGTGACCAATTAGAAACGTTTAAATGGTGCAAAAAAAACCTCCCGACTTAAAAAGCAGCTGTGTTCAGACTGAAAGCAGAACTTCAGCCCCATTTAGAGTATTGTTTCTGTATAATGTTATTGTTGGTGAGAGTCGAAAGCTTTATAGTAAAATAAATAGTCTGAAAACTCTGCTCTTTACATATCGTATATTACATTTGTACTTCCTGTTCATCCAGTGAAAACTGAACACAGACTTTCTAAACAGCTCCCTGCTTCACCCTTGTACACATAATAAGGCCATGTTCATTTTAAAGAAGCTGTAATGAACATGACCTTCAGCCCTGGTTGAGGCTCTGGAAGTTGTGTAACTATGACCTGCAGTACAGTGTGTTCAGCTTCATGTTACTAAAAAATCAAATTTAGGTTTGACTGATAACTAAAACCAGACATTTTAATAACATTTTAGAAATGGGGAAAGGTTATCATTTTCCTCTAGTGAACTGAAAGAGCTAAATGCTGAATCTGGGTTAAACCATTAAAGTGAAAGCAACACAACCCTAAGCTGTGTCTGTTTTTTCAGTCTGTCATGTCACGACCATGTCATGTGTGACTGTGTTTCATCTGCCACATGTTCAGCTCACTGCACAGCTGTTGTATGTCTGAGACACATTTGAACAAATGAAGTAATATGTGCTGTGTTGACTTGTGAACATACAGTTAATTGGCTTATTGAAGGTTAATTCCAGTGTTATAATTTGGACCTACGGTGTTAGTTTGACTGAGATCTGAACAAACAATATTACTGGGAAAGGATCATTTTATCTGCAGTGACTGTCTCGTTGTTTAGCTGTGTTATAGCTGTTCATGCTACAAACCAGCGAGGTAATGCCTGATTGCCTTTGTGGGAAGCTATGCCTGATTTCCAAGTGCAGTTTGCACGTTAATGCCAGAAGAGCAGGTGCACTGAACGAGCAGGAAGGGACGTGTGGTAGGACACGTTGGTACAGTGCAGACACGTTCTGGGTGAAAAGCTTCAGGGTCTTTGTGGCGAGTAGGAAAAGCTACAGTGACTAAGACCTATTCTTACGTTTACACAGGCACGTCAGTATTGTTTTAATCCCGGCCCTGTCCTTTAGCCCTCAGACCGCCTGTTGAAGCTGTGAGGACTGGCCAGAGTGTCTGGACAACACAGCCATGTAACACACTTCACTCTCTGCAGCACCTGAAGGCTGTGTCTGTGGTTGCGGTTGAGCTCCAGCAGACTCTCTCTGGAGGCTCTGGTGGACGGGGACAGCGAGAAGGCTCTCTTCATGTTCAGTGCTCCCTGACACAACCTCCACTGGATGCAGTAGGTCTCATACAGCTCCTCCACCTGCAGAGGTGAGAGATGGACACAGCAGCTATGCAATACCGGCTGAGAGGACCGTTTGTTCTGGGAGCAACTAAAACCAAAGTTCATTTATTTTTAAGAGCTCAAATCAGGTTCCCTCTCTCCATTTTCCAACTGATCTACTTTTGTTTTACAGCACATTAAATATAGATTCATTATATTTTAAGCGACTCCAAAATGTCTGGACAAAGTTGTATTTGTTATCAATGTCACCTGAACCCAAACCTCAAACCAACACTAAAAACATAAAACAGCATTTTTACCTTGCTGATTTGAAACTCTAATCGTCGTATATATCTCTCGAGCGCTCTGATCTCCTGGAAGAAACAAACAAATGATACACTTTAGGTTCATAGTATTTTTTCATGCTTATATTTACTGGTATAATAATTTATCATGCACTCGCACATTATGATTTTTTGGGTTTTGTTAAAATGTGTAAATTCAGTTGTATGTTTATTATGGAGGTCACATGATGTTGCCCCGGACCGGTGTCTATATTTCTGTGTGTTCCCCATTTACATACATGCAGGAGTCAGAATATTAGTGACACTGTAACACTGTAGTAGTAACACTGACTGTAATGCATCACTTTTAACTATGGCCTCAGCAGGTACATTTATACCTTAATGCCTATTTTAGCGAAACCTGAGATGCTGTGTTGCAGTGGTAATGGCAGGGCTGTTGCATTCAATTGTACAGGTGTAAGGAATAAAGTGGCGAGTGAGTGGATCAGCATCAAATCACTTCAAGTATGTTGTAGTTTGACAGAGAAATAGTTGTGGATCTGCAGAGACTAATGTGTTTGTGGTGCTGCTGCAAAGATTACCTTCTCCAGATCATAGAGAAAGGCCTGGAAACAGAAAATACATCATCATCATCATCACCAAGTCACCCAGATACACACACTCACACAAATACACACTAAAGGTAAATCCTGATTCCCTTAATGATCCACCATTTTGGAGGAAGTCTCAAAGCTCCTGCTCTGAGGGCCGAGGAGCGAGGACACATGAGAACATCCTTTACGTCTTTCATGGACCGACACGGCCCTTTATCATAAATCAGTTGGTGATTGGACGCTTCAGATGAAGGACTGAAGACAAGGATGTCTCATGTTTCTAAACATGAGTGTCCTCCATTCCTCTCTATTTGCGTTTTTCTCTTTGTAACTTTTCCTTGAATTTTACATGGGAGAGACTAAGACACAAGGAAAAGACTCAAGTGAGGGAAACGTGGACGCATTTAAGGGAACTGGGATTTACTCTGTTTCTTTCCCTGTCTCCTCACCAGTCTGGAGTTTCTCTTGGTCTCTCTCTGCTGTGTAGACAGGAAGTCCATCTCAGTCTGGTGGCCCTCCAGGCACTCCCTGCAGTCAGTTAGCAACACCAGTCACCCACTGACATTTCATAACATCAGCAGAGTGAATGGCTGCGTACAACCATGACATCAGTGGAACGATGCTGAATTACGTCCTTAAAGTACCCACATTTACTCAAGTACTGTGCTTAAGTACAGTTTTGAGTTATTTACTTTCTACTTATTGTACTTTTTATCCCCCTGCATTTATCTGACAACTGATAAGCCTATAACCCACATCAGCAACACGTGTCATCCACGTGTGAAACCTTTATAAAAACCATTTTCAGGGCCCTTCGTCATTTTTCTGATGTCTAAGAGATAGTGTTGGTTCCACTGTAGTCATAGTTCCCCTGTTAGATAACTGTTGGAGGCTCAAAGAGGTAAAATTATACACTATCAGTTTTACTAGCACAGCTTCTTTCTTCTGTCCTACTTGCACTATGCCATGACCGCTCAGATTTAGGTTGGGAACCAGAGTTGCATCAGTTCACTGTCTGATTTCCCCACTACTATACATACTTGAGTCCTTTTCGCAGCGCCTGGAAGACTCTGTCGACCTGTTCCGGCTGCAGAGACCAGACACCCCCTCCCCCTCTGCTGGGAGACAAGTGCATCCTGGGAGATTTTCCTCCTGCGGTCGCTTTGGAGCGCAGAGAGTTGCGCGCAGAGGGCGGCCTAAAACAGACATGCATAAAGCAAACCACAGGGGGTTTCACTCTCTGAGTTGCATTTTGTAATATTCTGGATTCACTTTAAGACCTTTCAAGTCACATCTGAGTGGAATATTCATCAAAAGGATTATTAGTGATTCCCGGTGAAGAGAGCAGGCCAGCGTGGTCAGAGTTTTCCCAAAGCATCGAAGCATTTTTTAGACTGACTGCTTTTCTTTACTTATGCACCTGAAGTCACCAGCAGTGAAGACATCTTATGGGGCTTCTGTGAATCGAGTTAACTACCACCTCTGGTACAGCGGCTCATTGTTCTTCTTCCCACCAGTTTGAAACACAACCTGCTTGGCACATTTGTAAACTTTGCAGCTGGGTTAGTTTGTTGGAGAACGCCAGCGCGGTGTGGGTGTGAGATAACAGGTCTTCAATAAGTGGTTGTTTCTCTTACTTTTATCAACCTAATATGAATAAGTGCAGCTTTACTGAGACCTGGACTGAAAACGTTCAGTGCTCAGTTAAACAACTAATTCAAGGCACAAGAAATGTTTTAATCAGCCACATTCCTCCCAGAACAAAGCTTCACGCAGCTGTAGAAGGGTGTCCTCTGTAGTTATGGACTCAGCTGTAACAGTTTAAAAGTTCATTGTGTGTGCTGTTTGTCGTCCCCTTCAGTGTGTGTGTAGTGTGGTGTATGACATGTTTATGTTGTCGTGTTCCTACCACCATGAAAAGTACAGAATGAAAAATAATGAGAACACATGATGTTGTGAGGACGGTGTGTGGTTGTCGACATGGCTCGATGTCATTGTGAGGACATTTTGTCCTGTTCTCATCCCTTCTAGGGGCCGTTTCAGTGTTTGGACTGGTTTTATGGTTCATGTTAAAATCAGGTTTAGGTTAGAGTTAGGGATGAGGGGGTGCATTATGTTAATGAGTGTCCTCACAGCTATAGAAGCACAACCGTGCGTGTATGTGTGTGTGTGTGTGTGTGTGTGTGTGTGTGTAGAAACACACAGGAAGAACATTCCTGTCAAGGCTTTTCAAGACGACATGTTGTTTCCTGTCTCTCTCTCGTGGGGCTGACACTTATGTTTGTTTCCCATTCATCTTTCATTCACAAGTAATGTCTTAAAGTCTGTGGTGCCTTCACTGTCTGCCCATCGGTGAGGAACAGCCCTGTCTGAGGGTAAAGAGATTTGCTCCCGATCTTAAAGGACGACAACAGGTTGTTTTTTTCTCTGAGAACAAAAACAGCTTCTACAGAGATGATCTATTACAGTTGACATAAATATCATTTCACAGACATTTTGTGCTGTATGTTCTGCTTCCTGTCATTCAGCTTTAGTTCTACTGAATTAGTAGTTGGATCTGTCACTGTAAAGGGCTTGTGTGAAGTAAAGACATGAATTGCCAAAACATCACCAGAACATGCACGGTTCTCCTGTGATGGCTACCACGTCCATACCCTACTTATATTAGTATCTGAATCGAATTCAAGTCACATGTTTCTAGTGCAGAAAAGTCAACCAGTGTGCAGACTTTGGCTGTCCTGTGTTGGTCATTATTATTTGCATTGCTATTGGCTGTGGCAGGCTGTCACTCACCGTCGTCGTCCAGTCAGAGAGCTGATCCCAGTGAAGGAACGACTCCTGTGGACTAAACCTCCATCTGCAGGCGAGTCGAATCGCAGCTTCACCGACATCCTGGACAGAGGAGAGGAGAGTTTAGTCACATCTGTGGGAAAAATCCCCACCACTACTGTACCTGAATGAAATTTGGTTCAGATGATTCTATAAGAAAGTGGCCACAGAAGCTTTTCTTTTATGACAAAGTAAAGGGCTTAAAGTAAAATGGTCCGTCACTTTAAGAGAGCAGGTGATATGTACTTTAATAAATGCCATCCTGTGTTGTTTTCACGCACAGTTCAACAGAAAAGCAGTGTGTGTAAGCAAGTCATACAATAACACACACAGGCTGGACGCCATCTGCCCAGTCTTTCACGTGGCTCCTGTGAAGGCTCTGTTTTTTTATTTGACACTGTCTTCAGAATGAGTTGCTGTTCAAGTCAGTTACAATATAGTTTACATGTCTTGTATGTTCATCATCATGGCTCAGACGTGTTCAGTCAGCATCTTATCGAGGTTGACTGTTGATGATAAACATCACATATGTGTGGCTTTGGTGAACATCTTGGCCAGTATTTCCTCCTTTGGCTATGCTTTGTGCATTCTGTGCAGTTCTTTAGTTAAAAGCTGGGATGGATGTGCTGCCTCGCTCAGAGAACTTCAGTAGATGAGGTGACTCATTGTTCTTAGTTTGGTGCCCCCTAACCACAGCGTGAGCCAATAGCATGGCAGAAACATGCTGCCAGTTTACTGTAAGTAGTTCAACCCAGTGTGGAGTCCTGACCCAGAATGTGAAATACTCTCCATGTCTGATTCCAAAACCAACACAGGCACCAAGCAACTGAACATAACACACGGGGATAGAAAAACCAGGTCTGTTCATTCTGAACCAGAATTAGCCAAGTAAGCACATACAGACCGATGACAAGTGGAAGGAAAAACCAGCATCCAACAAGTGTCTCAGTGAGTTGCAGCTTCAGTGCACCTTGGCACTGACTCTCCAAGTCTCTTAACTCTCCTGGAGGGATGAACGCCTTCCAAGAGATGTTCCCTCATGTGGTGTTTTGATGACAGTGGCGGAGACGCTCCAACATCTCCCATAGCCGTTCAACTGGGCTGAGACCTGGTGACTGAGAAGGCCACAGCGTCTGGTTCACACCATGGTCATCCTCATCAGACCAGTCAGTGACCCCTAGTGTCCTGAGGACAGGGGGCTCTGTCATCCTGGAGGTGACCTCTCATATTCAGGTTCTTGTACACACACATTCCTATGTTACCGGTGTACTCTGTGCTCCCGTAGTGTTGGTAATACCTCCTCACTGGAGGAAAACTACATGCATGGAGATCAAAATTAAACCAGTAAGTAGAAAATGATGGATGTTTAAAACAGTTTGAGAAATAATTCAGCAGTTCCCTTTTGTTTTTTGTTTGTCTGAACTTGGGGCGTGTTTACAGCCTGATCATCTGAGCTGCTCGTGTTTCTTTAGACCTTGTCATCAGACTTGTTTTTAGTGGTATTGGCTGTGTACAGTGAAAGAATGCCTTGTTATCATGACCAACAGCAACAAAGGCCAGTGTTATGAAATGCAGATCCACTGGCACTGTTGTAATAAACCAGAATCATCCTTTAGTTCTGGCCAGTGAAACAGCTTGCTCACTGGGTCATGTGTAAAAGTCATTCTGTGATGTCACTAAGTCCATTTTTATCTGAAGATTTATTTGCACACTTATATGGTTTGATAATTTATCTTATCATGATTTTAGATTCTGTTCTTTTTATCCAAACAGGCCTCACACCAGCAGATTTCACTGATGATAAATGGGAGCGAACAGGTCAGCGAGTGCAGCTTTAAGGTGGAAATCAGCAGCTTCTGGTTTCACTGTGATTGAAAATGCCTGAGAATCACTGGTGCAAATGTAGCAAGAACATGTGAAAATAATAAAGAGCACATAAGGAAGTTAATGTTAATTACAGGTTTTACCAATGTACAGATAAAAAATAAGAAATAATCTGGAATGTGATTCAAGTGTTGAAGAATTCAGGGAGGACAAAGGGGGATGAAGTGTGTGTGTGTTGTGTTTGAAGCGGTGTCTGGAGATGCACTGTGGTGAGATTGGGTCTTAAACATTTTGCTTTGACCTACAGGGACTCGTGTGGTGAGGAGTTAAGCGGCCGGGGCCTGTGTGTGCATGTGTGAGACTGTAAATATTTAAGTACACAAATGTGTGTTTTCCAGCACAGATGACGGACAGGGCCCTTGTGAGGATCTGCTGCATGCTGACAGCTCTGTGATCACACCAGACACTCGCACAAACACATAAACACACACTGATCCAAAGTCAAATGTAAAACAGAAACAGAAGAAGTAGTTTCTCTGCTCCCCTCTGTCTTACTCTCTCTCCCTCACAGGGTGTGGTGTGGCAGTGGGTTTTAAATGTGGTTCCAGGGGTCTCAGTGGTAATCACTCTCCTTCAGCACAGTTAGCCTCATTTCTACTTGCACATTGGCCTGGTTTAATGACCAGTCCCTTCCCTCAGTTGTAGCGGCGCCGGAGCCATCAAACAAACAGGTTTGTCTGACTCTAGTGCAGCGTTTCCTTTGCTGATCAGTTACAGTGTTGGGGTAGCTGGGTGTGTGGGTGGGGGGTCTTCGTGGTGGGAGAAGTATTCACATCATTTACTTAAAGGGTAAATTTGGTTTGTTTGAACCTGTTGTATTTCCCTAACAGTGTGTGTGGTGACTCTGAGGCTAGTGCTACGACTACCTCCAGGAAAACGAGGACACACTGCGATCACGTTAGCTGTCTGGGGGGAGCCGTTACACCTGGCAACTCGGCATCTGACCGGACAGGCCATGCTGAAGACAATTCAAAGTGCAAATCAAGTACTTTTTTTTTCAAAAAGGGATTTGTCATTTTAGGTCGATATCATCAACCTGATGTGCACATGTGGTAATTCTTCTGATAATTTTTTCAAAATAAGTTATCTGATGATATAAAAAGGGATGAATTTGAGATGATTGGCAGCTGTTTTCTGGTCTGATACTACTACACCACCTCTGGTTGCTACTGTGCAGAATCTGGTTGAAAAATACGCCACAACAAAAAAAAAGATGGCCGCCCTGTAGCTGTGAAACCTTGGCTTCACTTCTGCTTAGTTAGAGGAAGTGGTGGCTTGTCTAATATACAGTCTATGGTGTATATAGACACACAGAGAACATTTAAGTGCTGCACATGCCTGTGTGTGTGTGTGTGTGTGTGTGTGTGTGTGTGTGTGTATATGTGTTTCCAGAGTCATCCTACCCCTTTGTAGCCCCCCCCCCAAATCTCTCCTGCATCACTCCGTTAGTGAAAGTGTTTTTTGTTACTGTGCCTTACTCCCATCCTGACTCGGGTTTGTCTCCTCTTCTTTTCCCGCTCTCTCTCTTGCGTTTACCCTCCCAGCATCTTCAGTCTTTTATCAACACTTTTAAATGACTCTGAAAGCTCCTCAGAGACGTTTTCTGATTTCCAAGTAAACAATCCGCGAAGCATCTTTTATCGTATTAACAGCAGCAGATGAACAGCTCCATCTCTTTACGCTGACGTTAGCTGTGATTCCTCAGCAGGAGAGAGGAGAGAAGTGTATGTGTGTGAGGTTTTATTGACCCTTTGAAAATTAACACTAAAGGGTCGTTTGTGTGGTTCTGTCCAGTTTTGACACTTTGGCTTAGCTGAAATATGACTGGCTCGTTGTGGAGGTCAGAGGTCACTGATGACTCACATGCCCCACTGTGAAGAACTGTGTACTTCTGGATGGAGGTGCATTCGAGGAGGGGTGGGCTATAAACACTAACGATGAGGGTGTGGGCCCGCCAGGTCTGTTCTTCTTCTCCATCCAGTTTAATGTTACATCACTGCGTTCTACTGGCCCTAGCTCCTGGAACATCTCGGTGCCGAATGTGATGCCAAAAAGAAAGTTTGTTGGAACAGGGATATCACAACTTCAGAGGGTCAACAGTCAAAGACAGAGGGAAGACATGAATCTGTCAGCATGACATCAGTGACTGAGTCAGTGTGGTATTTACTGAACCTTTAAGCTGGTTCTTCTCCTGATAATGTGGCTGAGATGATCCAAACATCTGTAAGAAGCTGATATGTAACTGGCAATAACACATCCCAGTTGTATGATCCATTATGACTAATGTGTTACACAATCAGACCCTTGTGTCTTCACCACATGCTGAGGTTTTGTTTTTCAGGTCATTCGATCGATTGTTGTTGTTTTAAGTGAGTGAATTAGCAGTGAACTGAAGTTCTTGTAACTCCAGCTTTCATCAGTCTTCTCTGTCAAAATGTTTAGAGTTAGTTTGGAGGGGAATGTGATGGGAACAGGCGGTAAGACGGCGTCGATGGGAAAGTGTGATAAAGAATCATGTAGCCATCATTTGTCACCAGTGAAGTGAAAGAAGAGCGCAAACAATTCTGTCACACCTAAACAGTAACTTATAAATCTTCATTCTACGTGCAAATAGGTGTTTAAACTTAGTTTGTTTAATCCCGGCAAAAAGTGTTTTTGCGTGGGGTGGCACTGGACTCAACAAAAGATCTAAGGTGTTAGTGAACTTAAGGTGCTTAACCAGATGTGCTGCTTCTCCCCGTGTCCAGTCTTAGTGCACGTCACCATACAGATTGACCCCTTGTTATATATTTACAGTATGTCTTATAGATTATGTGGTTAAGTGAAGCTAATTTTAGTTTACATAGCTACAGACACAAGAGGTACAACTGTACCTACTGTAGGTAAACGATAAAATGAAGTGAACGTCCAAAGGGACAGAGAAGGACGGGCGACTCTGTTCTTCAACAGGAAATAAGGTTTAAAAAATCAGATGTAGGTTAAAGGAGAGCAGTGTGGGGGCGTGTGAGACGTGATGTCCTCCGCTGCACTTGTCATGTCTCTGGCTTCATGCTCCAGCTGCCCCTCTTTCTCGCCACTGGCAGGTCTCCTCTCAGACCTCTCGCTTTCTCCCTCCTGTCTCCATCACCCTCTTTGTCTCAGACTCTTTTCTTCCTCTGTTTTCTCTCGGTGTTAACTCATTCTGCTTTGTCCTCCTCTCCCTGCTGTGTGTTGTGTTTTGCAGTGAGATCCCGGCTTCCTGCGTGTTTAGACTGAGCCAGAGCAAAGATTAAAACACTCTAAAGTAACTTAATCTCTTAAATCTATTGACATAAACTCTTTCACACACTGTGTCCATCTCTGTTTTCCTGATACAGACATCTGGGCTCTGCACACACACACATGCCTGACTTGTCCTCAAAAGATACAAACATCTTCACTTTCCAACACACACATACACAGTCCTACACAAACAGTCAGATGTTCACATTCACATTTATCTTCTTCAAACGATGAAAAACATCTGCTTCCTCCTGCACACACACACACACACACACATACACACACACACTCAGGCTCTCTGTCCACATCTGTGTGTACTGGCAGGTCGATGAAGATCATCCTTATCTGTTCATCAGTAAACAGCTGAGTGTGAAACTATGTGAGCAATGTCCATGGGAACCTTGGCATTAAGATGAGGACCAGTAGAGTCCAGGCTGTTTACAGAAATGACAAAGAGCCGTGTCATGAGTGTCACCAAGGTTTACAGGCGACCAACCGGGTCTGAGCTACTCACCTGGTTGTTGTGCTTCATCTGATGGAGACATCCAAATCGGCTGAGTCGTCTGTGTTCAGATCCTGGCAGAGTCACTTCATCTTCACTCACTGGAACAATGAGACACAAACATGTTGGTTTCAGATGTAAAAAGGATGGGAATTCAAATCAAAGCGGTTCACGTACAGTGTGCATTAGGCAGGTAATAATTATATGATAAGCAACTGAGTGTCTGGTGCTGATGAGATGCTTCTTATAAAAAGAGATATAACTAATTATAAAACAATAAATAAATGCTGCAGCCAGAGTACTGACAGGAACTAAGAGAGATCATATCTGTCCCATATTAGCTTCTCTCCACTGGCTCCCTGTAAAATCCAGAATAGAATTTAAAATTCTTCTCCTAACATACAAAGCCCTTAATGACAAGGCTCCATCGTATCTTAAAGACCTCGTAGAGCCTTATCATCCTAACAGAGCACTTCGCTCTCAGAGTGCAGGTTTACTTGTGGTTCCTAGAGTCCACAGAAGTAGAATGGGAGGCAGAGCCTTTAGCTATCAAGCTCCTCTCCTATGAACCAATTCCTAGTCTCAGAAGTGTCCTTGGGCAAGACACTGAACCCCCAAGTTGCCCCCAATGGTTGAGATGGCGCCACAGATGACTGCCTTGGTTCTGTACTGGAAACAAATTCCTTGTGTGTAACATACTTGGCCGAATAAAGGAGATTATCCTTATTATTATTAAAAGGCGATTGACAGGAGAGGTCATGTCTGCTGCCTGAAAGCTCATTTATGTTCTGAACTTGTTCTTAATTGGCCAGATGTTCTTTCTACACAGCTGTTTGGACACTGTAAACACACACAACTTTCCTTGTGAGGCCGGTTCTGGATGATTTGAGCTGAATAACTTTACTTGAAGTGGAATTTGTTTTTATTTTCCTCCAGGAAAACAGCCTGTGATAAATGTCGTCTCCTTTCCTCTGACAGCCTCAGTCCTACCAAGCACGTTGGTTGTTACCTCAGGCAACATAAAAACTTTTTGCAGTACTGCAGGGTTTTGTCAGATTTCCTACATTTCCACTCTAATTTTCTTAATATACAAATTGAAAATGCACATAAAAGCAGCTGGATGGAAACCTACCTGTGGACCACTGCAGACAGAAACAGTAGAATCCATTTAAAATGAAAATATGATTGTGTTTTCCAGCCAAGGTGATTATATAAGCGCAGCAGTGTGTGTCTAGATCATCTAAACCTGTGCTGTAGTAATGTGATGGTGTTGTGCTTTGACTAATGTCTGATGGATTCAGCAGAAGATGAGGAAAGGTACACCGTGCGGCTCGTTATGGCAGGTTTTACAGCTGTTACTGCAGTTTAGCATCCACACGGCTTCAGACTGCTGCCTGACAGCCACGGAGGCCTGTCTCATGTCTGCTTCAGGAATCAAGCTTTAATTTGAGTTCATTTAAATTCTGATCTAAATCTCTTTAAATCTAAAGTAGTTCTACTACTGCATCTGTCAACAGGACAAGAAGCTGTTCAGCTGTGTTTGGTTTTTCTATTCATAGCTGCCAAATGTCCTTTTTGCTCCACTACTGAAAACAACAGGTGCATCTATGGTTTCTTCTTCTACACTTTAGGCATCAGCTTTGGACCATACGTCCTACACCACCCACATACAAGAACATAAGAATAAAGTTCACAGTGGGAGCTTGTTAGTGCAGGTGAGCGGATGTTTTACTTGATACACTGTGGCCCTGTAGGGAGCGAGGCCAGAAACACACACACACACACACACACACACACACCCTGCTACTGGCTTAAGCACTAATATTTCTTCTGCTCATGATGTTGATGCTGTGGTGCAGTGCAGCGGTGTGTTAGCGTGGCGACCTGGAGCTCCCTGACAGCACAGCAGGTGGACACTCGACCTGTCCTTTCAGAACTGAACAAAGCTGATGTAACAATGAGAGAAGTTTTAAAACCAACACTTCCCATGAGGTTCCTGTACATGAATATTGTGCTGAATGTTTTACATTCATCTGTGAGTTTAGCCGGTTCTACCAGGTAGAGATGAACAACTCAAGTCACAGCAGCTAATGTGACATGAGAAACTCATCGCTGCACTTCCTGCACTGGGATTTTCACCTAGTTAAATCATCCTGTGTGTTTTTACCACACATGACTATGGAGTGCTGAAATCCTCACTTTTAGCCCGTTGCATCCTGTGCTCCTTCAGAGCGAGGGCTGTGTGTGACAGTGGAGGCAACGTGCCAGGATGTAAGGTAAGGTCTAGACAAACAAGTTGAGTGCCTACACATAAAGATGTTCAACAATGCTGCAGTCACAACCAGTTTTATATTTTGGCACAAAACAATATGTTTTTGTAATTTATGAAATATGCAGATTAACTGCATTTCCTCTTTATGTTACTAGAAAGCGTAGTACAGTCGCAAAGATGTTTGTGTGCATTTGCTGTAGCACATTAGTTGTATATAAGTGTGCTGTAATTTCTAGGACCCAGAGGTAGAATAATAGTTTCAACACTGCTGCTTGTCGACTTATACATATCAGAAAACCCTTGTTACAAGCCGAGGGTCAAAATTTAGTTCCGTTTTATTTATGTAGCACCAAATGACAACAGAAATCATGTCAGGGCACTTTACATAGTAAGGTCTACACTTTACAGTCTTATAGAGATAAAACCCAGCAAACCACCTTTGAGCAGCACTTTGCGACAGTGGGGAGGAAAGACTCGTTTAGTAGGAGAAGAAACCTCCGACAGACCCGGCTCTTGGACTGCAGAGTTGGCGGTTTGATCCCTTTGTTGACATGTCTTTGGACAAGACACTGAACCCCAAGTTTCCCTGAGGATATCACCAGTGTGAGCGTTTGTTTGTGTGAGTCGATGAATTGACTAACAGTGTAAAACATTTTGAGTGTTTCCTTGTGTAGAAAAGGCTTTTTGTTGCCTTTTTTGTTGCTTTTGATAAAGAAGTCTGCAATTTACTGGAATGAACAACTGCAAAAACTGTAACTGTCCACTCTGGTGTTTGCTGGTGATTTGCTGAAAACTACTAAAATGGAGGCTTTCTGTTTTCAGTGCCATTACAAGACATTTCTGCCACAGTTCACACAGGGGTCCAACACTCAGAACTGGACCACATTCCACTGCAGCCATATGCCCTAAAGACACACAACAGCCCTAAATATAAATATACATATGACTTACAGCCTGCAGCAGTCAAACACAGGCCGTCTTTGAGCTGCTGAAGAGATTAAATCTTTGTCTAAGGTGCCTGAGGCACCTTGTTAGTCTGGAGGTCAGCCTACATGTTTGATTTACACACACAGCGATTGCAGGCAGCAGTCGGAGCTTAAAAGCTGCTGCCCTAAATCCATTATTATAATCTACTGCACATGGGAGTAGCTCAATAAATTGGGGATTCAAGAATTTTGTAATTTATATTCAGACCTAAACTATAAAACATCCCCTCTCTCACCTTCCTTTAACCCCTGTGCCTGTATAATAGTGCCTTAATTTCTGCAGTTCTGTCAAATGGCCAGGGTATTGGTTTGCATTAGAGCAGCTGACGTCGTTACAGAGCAGAAACCTGATATCTGAAATGAGAATAATGCATGTATATGGCAGAGCACGCAGGGCTTCACAGAGACCAGACTGCTGCCAGGACTTCCAGCGTCCAGAGTTAAAATATTTGCACTGACTTTAAAGCGGTGGAGATAAAAACATCAATGTTAAAAAGGTCTCACAAATTATATATTGATTCTACATTTTATTTTGTAATCAGGCCACTTGGAGGAGCTTTGTGATGATTTATTTTCATAACTTGCTCTGATAGGAAGAGCCTAAGAGCCAAATGTGAAGCTACAGTACATGCTGTATAGGGTACGTGGCGAGCTTTGTGCCAGTGTTTTTCTTTCACATGACTGGCTGTACTCGGCATAATGTAGGGCATTGAAAGGGCCCTGCGGTGTGAGCTCAGCCAGTCTGGAGCTTCACCCAAGTGTGAAATGGAAATTCTTGTTCTGCCTCCTCAGGGCCACAGGCATTTTACTCAAACAAATGACACCTGCGGGGGGCGTCCCGGCTCAGGCACAGGTCAGAAAACCCACCCTACAATACAGCACTTGTGAATTGTTTACCCTGAGTTAAGCTGGAGAAAAGCGACGCTTCTCTGTTCGCCGAGTTCCTTTCTCCTCAGTAGGTAGAGCAGAAACCAGATGCTTTTGGGACCACGACTATGACCAGGACTCTGCTGGGGAGAAACCGGCTGCGGTGAGGGTTGAAACACGCCTCACTCAGTTCCCTGGTTAAATTTATTGAGTAAACAATGAAATTCCTTAAACTTCAGATTAGGACTCGTAAAAAACATTTCTGGGTTTTGCTCTGCAAGATTATCCCTATAATTTTAACCAAACCAGAAGGTCAGTGTTGAACAGTTCTGCAAAACCTATGGCATAGTTAAAGCTCCACAACCAGATTTACTGTGCCTTTGCTGTTGTAGTTACTCGATTTGTACTGGAGACCCAATTTGTTCTTTGCATGTGCAAGTGGCTAAGTTTAGGACAAGATGACCCTGCTATAAATTGCTTCTTTGCATATGCATGGAACAAATTGGGTGGGCAGCACAAATCAGTTAGTGACCGCTACATGTAGTGCACACTACTCCCTGCATAGGCACGAAACATCTGAACTGGATGCAAGACCTAAGGTCAGAGTCATCCTAGGCCTATTTGACTTTACCTTTTAGTAAACCTGCTCTTTGAACAGGCCCCAGTTCAGTTCATGAGTGTTGTGTTGCAGTGTGTACGTCTGACACAGAGGAGAGCAGCATCTTTTATCAGCAGTAAACAGAGGAGAAGCTTCAGGGCTCGTACAGGGGACCAGGTCACACTGCCGAATGATAAAACACAAACAAACCTGCATCCAGACATACACATAACTGCACAGAGGGACGTGCAGCGTACACTGTGGTGAATTCCACAGAGGACATTTTTCTATAATGTCTGGGACCATAAAACGAGCCTTCAAAGTAAATTAGCCTGACTCAAAACCAACAGCACTGTTTTTTAAAATTTTGCTTGTTTG